TTTCTTTTTCTTTCCCTTTTTGTTTAATATGATTCATCCAGGTAGCTGGTGTTACTTTTAAGGGTATGCTTATTTTCCCAAAATCTACATTGAGCCAGGAGTAACAGAAAACACTGAAACCACCCACCCTGGCTCTACTAGTGCTCACTGTTAAAATGGGGTGTTCTGCAAGAGTACTAGAGGTGTCCTCATGGTATATATATACAATACAATTATTAAATTGCTCGATCCAGACTGTACAATTACATGGATTATCATGGAAGAAGCTGGCAACTAGGGAGTGACTGCACACTTTTTTGGCTTGTGTTTGCCATTATTTAAATATAATGTTTTGCTGTCATCCATTACACTATCTCCAGTAAAGACCTTTTCAGCAGGTGAATCGATGGGGATCTGGGCACTTCAGATCTCCCCAACATGAGAAATCCCTCCCTCCCTTCTTCTTCAAATGGAGCATGGTAGACCCTTGCCACTTTCAAGTTCCTAGCCACTAGGGTGGTAGGCCTTGGAGAATTTCTCACTGGTTGGGCATAACACATTATGTTGAGAAGTAGGGCAGAAGTGACACTGTCTGTTTAATACGGGTCACTCCTCAAACAGCTAATGTGCCCTCCTCCTTCAGCCAGAGTCTGGTAGAGTCGAGGTGAGCACACACCATACATTCTGATCATGCTCTAACCACACTACAAACATTGGTTCACTGACTGCTTGTGTAAAGGTGCTCAGTTGGCCATGTTTGAATTCTGCCCATCCCTGTGACACTTGAGCTCTTTTGCCTCTTCCCTTACATATTTCGGGTGAAGAATATACCCTCGTCAAAATGAGATGCAGTTTTCCTATGGAGTCCCTCTCGTCAGGTATCATACTTCATAGGCTTTCCCTTTGGGCACTTCCTTAAGGAAACTTAACTAGGTTTAAGATATGCACTAGCCCCTCCACCAGTTCATCGTGGGATTCTAGCTGTTCTGTGTGCAGAGTTGAGGTATCATCTTAGAAGTTAACATTGTCCTAGTTTGACCTCCTCACTTCTAGTGCACCTATTATCTTGCTTCATCTTTTCTCCTATTGGTGGAGGGCTATTGTGGTATGATGACAACATCATGCACCGGATCATTTAATGTTAAGCACATGAATTTAGGTGGGAGTTAGCTCAAGGCTAGTGGCATGAGTCTCTTAGGCAAACACTCAAGAAACATAACTGTTCTGTATGAAGAGGTATCTATCAGAAATACATTTTCAGATTAAGAAAATGTTAACTTTTGTGAGTGTACCATATGTGACATTACCCTTTATTCTTTGATAACTCAAGTTAGTTATCCTCATCTGTGTGTGTGTGTACTGTATATAATAATATTTTCTTAATAGATCACTTAGATAGTTATCATCTTGAAATTAATGTGTCTAAGTGTTGTGTCTAAACCACATGACATTACTCTTCTTCACATGACTTAACATTTTCCTCATAATTAACATGTTTGCCATCAGTGATGTGTTAACACGTTAATTATTTCTATTAGTCAGGTGCTACTGACATGTTAACATGTCAATAAGCAAAAGGACTATAACTATGTGTGAGTGTACAGATAAGCAGTCCCTTAGTGCTGTACAATGATTGTATGTCCTAGTTCTTGTGAATGACAGAATAAAAAAAAATCCTAAAGTTTCAAGTCATGTGGCCTGAGATTTCTGCAGTGGTTTGTTTTGATTACCATTATAGCTACAAGAGGGCAAGGTTGTGCAAACATTATAGTCTAAATGAAACTGCAAGTATTTTACAAGAATCTGATCCAGAGTTACTTGAGGATGATTATGTAGATAGGGATAGTAATTATGAGCTTAGTGATTCTGAGTCTGATGATGAAAGAGGCCTAGATTGTACAGACCAGAGCTGACACTGCCGATCCAGACAGTGACACTGGAATACCATCATCAGTTTATGGATGGTAAACTATCCAGTCAACATATCCTACCGATATTTATTTTACTACACGGCCTTAAGTGGTTACAAATTTTTTGGTTGACGCCTTTGCAGTTGACATTTTCAAACTGTTTGTTACAGAGAATGATGTGAATATATGATGGTCACTGAAAGGAATAGGTTTGTTGAACAGTTCTTGGAATTGAACTGCCAAAAATCTAAAAGTAGAATGTGCTGATGGTCTGCAACTGATACATCTGAAACAAGAAAATTCCTTAGCATTATTTTCATTATGGGCAGCATGGAAAAACCATTTGTAGAGAATTACTGGTCAAAGGGTCAAGTGCTGGCTACTCTGCTTGTCAATACCATTATGCCACATGTTCATTTCAAACTGTTGCTAAAGTTTTGCCACTTTAGTAATAATGAATGTGGCTTAGCTCATGGGTTATAATTGCTACAGTGGTAAATGTGTTAATGTGATTCATTCAAAATATTCTAAATCTTATTATTAAAGGAATTTATAAGGTACTGTAGAATCTGTGGTGATCTTTGGTTCTTAATATCTAATATTAATATATTAGTAATCAAACTGATTTTTAATGGGTTTGATGAGAAAAATTTATTTAAATATTTTAAATTATTTTATAATAAATATATAAAAAGTATTTATATAAATTTGAAACAAAATTATAATATCCACAATAAAAAAAATAATTTCTAAAATTATTGTTAAAGAAAATTGGAATTACTTATTGGACATTTCATATTTTATATAGATATATTAATGTAGTTGTCTCACCTTATGCATATAAGACTTGCTACTGTGTGAAAATCTTTAGACCCATTGAATATACAGATAGTAATATGGAAAAGGCAAAGGATGGGAACTAATACTAATAATTTTAGTTGGGCTTAGTGTAGTAATACTTTAACATCTTGGTATTTATGTCCAAACATCATATTGTGGGTTGGATTGCTAACTTCAGGGACAGTTTAGCTGTATTCCCTCATTGATGTTTTATATTCTATTTCTTTCTTTTTATTTTTGTGAACAACTACCTCCCCACATCTGGCTGCAGACTGTGAAAGGTGATTAAGATGTGGGACATTGTTGGGTAGAACATCCACATCAGCTGCATTTCTTTTTCAGCATGTGAGGCCAGAAAAGTTGAGGTTAAACTGGATAAATGGTGTACCTAAAAAAACCAGAGTACATCACATAATGACCCAACTTATGATTTGTTCCCAAGTGTTGGATGTTTGTATTGTGGTTGCAATTTATTTTTTCATGTTTTTTCTCCCCATAAAATTACATTTAATTATATGTATTATGTATATTTTATTATTGCTATCTATCAGGTTTATTCTGATATTTTTTATTTTGAAATTGTATCAGTATAGAAGGATTGTGTTGTTTTTCATGTCTACATATAGTGATGTGTAAATGTTTTACAAGAATGAGAGTGAGTTACACCAGTTATTTAACTAATGTTAGAATTCATTTCATTGGATTTTAACTTAAAAAGTTAAAGTTGTTTGGAATGGCTTAAAGTTCAAGAGGGTATGTGATATGCAGATACTTAAATTGTATTTTCTACCTTCTTTAGATAAAAAGGTGGACATTCCTAATTCACCAGCAATTTTCACTCATACATTTTGTGCAGTTTTAATAGTAGAACTTAGATCAATGCCTGTAAAAGTACAGACAATTGTGTTGTTTCAAACAGTGGTGTGATGAATGCAGTCATGGCTCCTAGGACGGAAATAAAATATGACAAATGTGTAGAAATCAAAGCTTTGGTTGGTGAAGGCTATTCCATATTTCAGTAGAAGCTTTATGGAAGCTCTGAAGAGGTTGCATGAAACTAGTGTTGTTGATAATTGAAGTAGTTAAGGTAGAAAGTAAAATTTAGTGATTATTAATAACTCAAGGGTAAGCTCTTTAGCATGGCACTAACAATCCAGTAGAAATTTCACCAGTATCTAATTATCCAATTACTTCCAGAAAAGTTAAGATACACATTAGCATGAAGTAGCTTCATTAAATGAGTGGCTGCTCAAAAACCATTACTTAGATGGAATAACCAAACCAAAAGGCTAAAATGGACATTGCGTCTCAAACAATGGGATGAGAAAAGCTGGAGGAAGGTTCTCATTACAGATGAATCCAAATTCAAATTGTTTGACAACAATTTGATGTTTGAAAGGAGAAAGGTATCACAGTCAACATATTACAAGCGTGCTGGAGGCCAAATACAAATGTGAACTGAAACTCAGCATTTGGGTTGTAGACTACACAGAATTGATGGTATAATGATTGGTGATGTGTTTAGGTAGATTACTATATGTTATGTTGTTCTCTCAGAAAAGAAGACCTATTGGATAGGGCAAGCAGTAAGCAAAAAAAAACTTTGCTGAATTATTGGAAGTAATATGAGACATTTGGAAAAATATTTCGTAATCATACTTTGATATACTTATGGAAGCATAAAAATATGGCGTACTGCTGTTTTAAAGCAAATATAAAATATTAATGTATTGTACAACTTACTCATTTTTGTATTTTCTGCAATAATGTATTGTACTAATCATAAATTGTCCATTTATTTGCAATTACTCATTTGTGTATCACCTTTGCATTTTCATTATTTTGAGTACTGTATACAAATATAGAACTTGTAGACGTGTACAGGACATATGTTGTCCTCACCTTTCATTTGAGGCTCCATTGAATACTGGTGACATGGAAAATTCTATAATTGAAATGTAAGTATATCACAGCATAAAAGGATGGGGTATCTAAAATTAATTTTTTTGTTGGTTTGTTGTTAACCCATAAAATATTGAATGTAGTGATTCACATAGGCTTTGTTTTAATGAATATTGTACATAGGCTTGATCTTTTGGTTCTACTCCACTAAATTTGTTGAATATATGAACAGTATTCAATTACTGTAAAGTAAATGATCAAGTAGACTTTAATGCTCACAGCAGCTTTTGAAATGTCAGGTTTGTTAGTGAAATACAATGATTCAGTTTGAACTTGAAGTTATTAATATTTTTTTCTTGTTTGTTTCAGATAAAGAAAAATATGAAAAATACTCCAACAAAACAAACAAAAACTCAAATGAAAAGGAGGAAAAAAATTATGTCTCTGAACATAATCGTAGTCATTCACCATGTTCACATAAAAATGAAGATCATTCAGCTTGCAAAAAGAAGAAGAGGCATCATGATTCTTTGTAAGTACAGAACTTGGATGCATTATATTAAAACAATTTTGTATCATTACCATATCCTTCATCTCTATGTCACCATATCTGGTCATGCTCTACCTGATGACTGTACTTCTTGACAATAGCCCTGCAGCACAGTTTTAATTGCAAAAGTCTTTGTTTTAAGGCTGTTATGTCCAAAGCACACTGCTTCTTCAATTCTTTTAATAATCCATCTAATGTATGAGGACAGTGGTTTCTCAGTTCCCATTGCAACAGTCCATTTGAAGAGAAATTCATAGGTGCTGAATTCAGCAACTTGATTGTTATGTCTTCATCTTGAATAGCATAAATACCCAGTTCATTTTCTAACTGCTTGAGGTATTCCAAAGTTTAACAGGTATGTCATGGAAGCAACTTAGGTACACAACTTGTGTCACATTTTCATATGGAGATCCTTCTTGATTATGTATTCATTTGTATTCATGGATTCTCACCTGTTACAAATGTTGAACTTTGCTTACCATGGCTAGGTTACAACTTGTAGCAGGTCTCTTTCTATATGGCCTTGGTCCCTAAGTTAATCCATATCCTTTTGTTTTCCAAATCCATTAAATACAAAAGTTATCCTCTCTCTTAAATTCTAAATAACTGATCTGAACACATTTTTATGGCCTAAGTATATGAATATTTTGTCTTGGAAATGCTTGTTACATACTCTTCTCCAAAATGTTCAATGTTAGGGGCATCACGGGTACCTATGAAATGTTAAATAATATCAAAATATAGTTCTGATATGAGTCATTTCCATCATGACCTTATATCAGTTATGGATGTTACATGGCTCACTGATTTGCATATTCAAGATCATTTAATATGATGTGCTGAACTTTCTGTGTTTAATTAAAGTTTTTTAATCTTCCATGAAAAGGTAAAGTTATCAGTACATAAGATAAAAATCATCTACACCTAAAATAATGAAGAAAGAAAAAGATTTATTGTATGGCAGTTCTGTATTTATAAAAATATAATGTATTAATTTGTACATGACAAACCAAGAAACATTTGCAAGCATTCAAAATTATTAAAACATAATTAACAAATGAGAGAAAAACAAATGACAAAAAAGAAAAAGAAAGATAATCAGAGTAGTGAAAATGTAAATTACAATGTCGTAAATTGTGTTTTTGTGATATTACTTTCTATTATGGCATTTACACATTAGTTTTGTTTATTTATCTTGGACAAACCAGTGATCTAGGATTTTAAAGCGTAAAACATTTCCACACAACTAAAAATTTGTGTCTGGCTTCTCTATATCTGTCTTTTGTTGTTTATGTGGAGTAGTTTTGTACAATTTTCATTCTATTTTTATACATTCATTTCATATAAAAAATCAAAATAATCTTGAATTTTTAACACTAGAATATAGCAAACATTCAGTGGGCTTTTGTTTATATTTGTGTGCAAGTTATTTGTGACTTTTGACGAGATAAATTGTATGGTCATCAAATGATCTTCAATAAAATAGGTTTCTTTTTCTGTATAAGATAGTTCTTTGTTAATTTTTTTTAACACAACAGAGGAATGATATTTTCACTAATGGCACCTCCAAGTAACAGCTAAGCTTTATAGAAAATAGTAAAAAAAACTCATTTAGTTGTAAGTGTAAAGTTAAAAATATTACCTTGGTGTAGATTGAAAAGTGTGCTTTTCCTTGTATTTAAAAACTTTTTTTTAATTGTATACTTAAAAAAACACTCTTTAAGGAGATTAAAAGTAACAAAAAAAAATGTCTCCAATAGAAATTACAGGGCTTATTTGTGGTAGTTTATCAGCTGAAAAACTTGAATTTTAAAAATTATTGGCTTGATTATGTTAAATGAAATAAGTAATGAATCTGTATTTGATAGTGTTTGATAGCTATGATGTCATAAAATCACTATCAGTTGCTGTTTTTGTATTTTCTAGTACACAACTTTCCATCAGAGTGCTCAGTTAGAGCCTGCTAACTGGAGATTTAGTGAATATTGAGTAAGAGATTGTGTTGTGTTTTCTCCAAAATCTGACCAAGTTCATGAGGTAGAAAGAAATGGTACACAAATGCACAAATCAAAATCTTTATTACAAACAAAGTCAAAAACAAGCACAATACAAAACACTAGGTTAAGTGTGTGTGGAAAGAAATGTATGACGAAACCTTTAATTCCATGCATACAGGTGGGTCAAAGTATGCATGTCACAACCTGTTCACAGTTACATTCAGAATTCAAAAAACTTTCTTATCAATGTATATCAGTAAACTAGGCATAAAAACATAGTTTATAATTCAAATTTTTATATTATGTATGTTTTAATTTGTTAATTTCAAAAGGAAATATTTAAATAATTTCCCAATCTTCACTTCTCTGTGTCGCATTACATGGCTCATTCTCTGTTGTTTTTTTTTGCTCACTTAAACTTTCTTGTTTCATTTACATGGGTTTTAGTGTCCAACCAATTAGAGACACAAACTGTAGAAAATGACAGGCCAGAACATAAAATTGGAACCTCCTACATTTTTGAGTTATTAAGATACTGTGAAATTTCACAAGAGTAGCCCATTCCATGTCAATGCTTTTGAAGCCATTTATTTCATCACTCCTACTTTTAAGTTAGACATGTTTATAACCAATAGAAACAGTGTATTATGAACTACATAAGTCAGAAGATTTTGTGTATATCCTTGTATTGTGTAATGCCTAATATATTCTACAAAAATGAAAAACTTCTTGTATTCATAGTTTTGGCTGTCAAAGCTGACAGTTCACAAAGAAAGATTGATGTGTGTTGACTAAAGAAATTGCTCTGAGCAGTAATGGAATTTTTTAACCCATCTTTAGCTTAGTCAGAAAGCTATACAACTTATTGTTGTTTTAAGACATTCTATTCTAGTGACTAATATATTTTTGTGTTCTAAAATGTATATTTTAAAACTATATATCACTCATAGTACAAGAAACCCATAAAATTAAATGAAAGCAGTCATGAAAATGCTGGAAGCTAAGGCTGTTAAGACAAATAATTTTAATTAGCTGTTACAATTCAGTCATTTCAGAAAAAGTATTTTTGATTTTATTTCATATTTTTCAACATTTCATTTCACTGTACATGGAAGACTTCACTAAATTTAGTGTTAGGGTAGAAGAAATAAGTGATAAAGTATAAAGTTCTACTGAAAAACAAGCTTTTCATACTGACTTACAAAATTCTAGAGGTTATTCAAATGAAAACAGTGGGATTACAAGAAATATTTTTAATCTTAGCATGAAAATCACCTTTCACTCAGACTGACTCAGTAAAGGCATCTGAAATTTCCAGAAAAATCTGTAGAAGGAGTACTTTATTAAAAAATCTAATTTTTTGTATACAACAGACTTGTAATTGTTAACTAAAGGCTTGCCAAATTTTGTGAAAATATATTAAGTAAATTTGGAATCATCGAATTTATAGTAAATATTAATTCTCCAATACAGGCTTGGTATATTCCGAGTTATAGTATGTATAGTTTCACAATTAAGTAATGGTTACAAGGTTGGTCAGATTGACCAAGCCTATATACAGAAAACTAACTAAGGGGAGAGCAAGTAAGATTAAAGTGAAATAATAAATGTTTCACAACCAATATATGATTGAATACTCTACCCAAGCAGTTTGTTATATAAAATCTAGTCTTGAGAGATTTAGTAATTCTTTACCTTAACATAATACAGTATAGTTAGAGGTAATAGCTAGAAACCCTTATTTTTACTTTCATGAATTTTAATAATTTTATATCTTTTGCAGGGTTACTGACGAGTAGTTAAGATTATCTGATAGTGAATTGATTAAATAGTGTTTTAAGTATATCTGCTTTTATTGCTCAGAAGACATTGCAGTTTCTAGTTATTTATGTTAAAGCTAATAAAAGTGTGGTGTATGTTTTATTGAATACTTATTTTAAGATTTTCTGTGTTTGTTTCTCACAGGGAGAGACATAATGACATGCTAAACAATGGTAGTTACAGTTGGTTAGTACCTTTAATAAGAGTGAGGTTCATTGATGAAACATACAGGAATGGAAAGTATTACAATACTAAGGTAAGATTATTATTTCTAAAATTATTTTTTACTCTTTCTGTGTAGCCAGTGGTTGAGAAATTATATTAAAACAATTTTGATGTTTTGCCATATTGTTACACTTCATTTTGCTATATATGGTCATTCTTTTTCTGATGACTGTGCATCTTGACAATAGCCTTGGAGTGTGATTTCTGTTGCAAAAAGTGGCTCTGTTGTAAGGCTGTCAGGTCTAAAGCACATCACTACTGTTTGCATGCTTGCCATAATACATAGTGTATGGGAATGGTGGTTTCAACAGTCTGATCTCAGAGATCCAGAAGTTTTGCATCCAGTGACATGACCAGGAGTTCTTTATGTAGGATGGTGTTAATAACTGTGTCATTCTCTGGCTGCTTGTGATATAAGATGGTGTAACACATCTTTATGATCTCAATGTATAAATATTTTGCATTAGAAAGAGCTATTACATACCTTTCCCAAAACTGGCCAATTTTTAGTAGCATCAAGTTACCTACAAAACACCAAACAAGTCAAAATGTAGTTATGATGCATGGGGTTGCACTGCAACTTTATATCAGCTGTGTTTGTCACATTACTTGCTGATTGGCATATTCAAAATTGTTTTAACATAATATGCTCAACCTTCTGTTTTTCAATCATAGAAGGAAAACCTTGGTTGTAAATAATAAAATTTAATTTTTTGGTGTATTGAACTATGCCAGGAATTAAATGGTACTATATCATCATGTTATACCAGGAAAGATTTCCATACTAAAAAAAATACTAAACAATTTTTTTTTCAAAGAACATTTATTTTCAATAAGGGACATTCACAGGAAAATAAAGGCAGGTTCATTGCATTTATAAAGGAAAACTGGTTTCACATATTACTTAAATTTGTATGCTTTCTTATTCAGATAGTTTTAAGATTTTGCTATCAAACTTAAAATCTTCTTTTCAAACTATCTTTTTGAAAATTTGTATCATCCATATTTCACAGTTAAGCTTTCACCTCCAGAGGATATGTTATCAACGGAAAGAGGAGGGGAGAATTAACATGGCCATATGAGACTATGTTTTGTAGTTAATTTTCACAAGCTTTTTGTTCTGTAGGTTTTTAGAGTTTTAGTTTTCAAACCTTTCTGCATTTTAGACCAGTGTTAAAAATTATTTTATGCATTTTATTAACGTGACAATAAGTTGGCTATCTAATACACTTCAGCACATCAGACACTTGTGTTTAAATTTTTTTTGTAACTATTTTAAAAATTGTTTAATGATTTATACTTCAGGTATGTTAAATGTTTAACAAAGACTCGTAATAAGAAATTAAAAATGTGGAACAAATGTCAACATAAATTTAGTCGTTTTTGAAAACTTTTTACAATTATTTAAATGCATGACATAATATTTTTTTCGAATATTTTAAAATATTTACCTTTGTGTCTTTTGATTAACTTTTTTAAGGGATCTGAATGAGACTTGTCACCAATAAATACGGTGACTTTTTTATGTAGATGTTTATTTTTGTAGAACAAATCTATAAAGTGTTTCAATTAATTTGTTTGCAAAATAGTTATATATATCATTACTACTATATATATACTGCTTTGATCATTTAAAAATCATTTTGAAAATTTATAAATATTGCATTGTGACACAGAATCAAGTACTGTGTAATGTATTTAAAATTTTAAAATCTTCCTTAACTCTTTTACGATGACGCACTTTTAAAACTTTTTGTGCATGTTATTGAGTTACATTTAAAATTTAATCAAACCACTTCACTATCAATGTATTTTAATGACATTATTATTGTCATATACATTATAGTTCAAAGTTTTATATTATTTTAGTTTTTATTCCTTTATTGCAAAAAAAACAACATCAAAACCTATAATAAATACTTCAGTTTTGTTGTCACATGAGGCATGAGCTATAAACAGTTTCACACTTTGGCAATGTATAACTTGAATCACAAAACTCCAGTCCTGTAGATGTATGTCAAGACAACAAGTACATTTACTTGCTCTATTGACACGTATGTTTCAAAGTTCTTTGGCTAAATGCAGTAGAAACAAGTACTATATTTTGTCAACCCCTGATGGGTTCTACCTCCACCTTCTATACTTACTTTTGAACTTTACAACTTGCATGTAGATACTTCAGACACATGTTTATAGTCATTAGAAAGAGCTCATTTTACACTGTAATCCTACAATGGTTATTTTGAAATTGATGCCAAGTTGTCATTATTTGTGTTTTAAAATTCATATTTGAAAGATTTAATAATTTTTATAAAATAACCAAAGCTTCTTCTTGTTTAGCAAGGCTTACATTACTAAGAGTGTATAAAAATATTTTGCTGGAGAATAAGGTATCTGCCATTCATACCATTCTGTCGCTCATGGGTACCCATTGACATGTGCCACATAAATAATCAATGGTAAAGTATAGGAAAGGTAAACAAAACGTTAAAAATAAACTATAACTGAATAGGTTAAGACATGAAATATTTTAAGATTATTCAATGAAGTTAGAGGGTATGAACATATTTATGTTTCTTAATTTGAAGTATTTCATTACACTGTACATTGATGATAATAGGTAGAATTAGTGATATGGTAGAGAAAATTGAAAATGAAATACAAATATTTAACTTAAAAAACTTTTGATATTCATTTAGAAGGTTCTAGAGATTATGCAAATGAAATTTGAAACTGTAGAACAAAAGATAGTATTTTTATACGTAACATGAAAATCACCTTGCAGATGAACTATTCAGAGTCCTAGTGCAAATAACTACATTAAATAACGAATTTTTAGTAGAAATAGTACAAAAAACTAAATTAAATATTTATTTTTTTGAAACTACATACTTCTAGGAAAGTTCATACCACGTTTCAAACAATTTCATCCACTAGTATCATTTTTGTAATGAAATTTCATGAGTTAAGTAATCTACTTACAGAGTAAGTAGGCCTTTGTCAAAGGGTTGAATGGAAATTTTTTTGTTACTTTCACATTTTACAAAACAATTCAGTTTATTATCTAGTAAGTAAGTAAGGATAAAAAAAGAATGTGATATTTTTAATTGTAAAAATGCTCTTACTGTGTTGGCTCTTTCTATTCTGAATATCTGGTTGTATTATCTATAGGTTGTAATTGAAGATGTTTTTTCATCAACATCTTGTTTATGCAGAACAGATGATGGGAAGCTTTTAGAAGGTAGGTGTTTAGTTTGGCATGAAAAGCAGAAACATTTACTTGTCCTTCAAAAAATGTAGAATATAACTTTTAGGATTTTGATTAAATTTAACAGTGAACACAATCAATAAAATGGTACTGGTAGATCAGTTTTGTCAGGAATGTGGTATACTGCATTTTATATCTAAGCTCTTTGTATACATCCGTTCATGGTTTTTAACATTTAGTCATTAGAATTTTACCATGCAATATGGATGTTAATGGTGCTACAAACAAAAATGACGGTGGTATATAATGTAAACATTAACATCAGAAAGAATAACTGTGTTACAAACAGCAAGACCAAACCTATGATGAAACAGAACATATAATTTTCTAGGGTTATTAGCTAGGTATTATTTGAAATTCATATTTTTAAACAAGTAACACTATTTATGTCTCATACTGATCAAAGAACAAAAAATATGGAAATACTTTATTACATATGACTTCCATGACAACACTGAGGATACAAGTATAAGGGGAAAAAATTATTGCTAAATAAAAAAGCTATGTGAGGCTGGCTACTGAACTAGGAAAAAGGAACCAAACAAGATGGGGATGGAAGTGGACATATTAGTAAATGATAAATGACTATATTTAAGTGCAATGTTAAAGACTCAAAGTAGGATAAATGTTGGAATAGACTGTATATAGTAAGGAGTGGTTTTTGAGCATTATATCTAATTTTGGAAGAGAATGGTATTAGAGTTGTATACTTCAAGTAATGATGTGAAGGAAACTTTGAAGAGGAATTGAATTCAGCTGTTGATTATAACGTGCTTGATAAACTTGTATCAGCAATTATAATATCATTAGTTCTTCTGTTGTTATAGATATACATCCTTCAATGTTAGAAACAGTGATTCCTCGATCAGAGTCTGCTCATGTGTTAGTTCTAAGTGGAAAATATAAAGGAAAGGTAGGATACAAATTTGTATTACTTGTTTGTAGAAGATTCTTGAATAAAATGGCCATATATTAGGTGAAGCAGGTTTGATGGCTGAAGCCCTTTCATAAGGCCCTGGTCTAAAGTAGTGTAATAATTTCCCACAGTGGATAGCAGCTATGCATCATAAACATTGCTGTCACAGATTTACATAGAGCAGGTTTATTTGATTGCCTGTTTAATAAGAGGTGAAGCTAACTTTGTACAGAACCATCAGTAACATGTTGTAGGTGAAAATGTTCATTATTCAGTGTGTCTACATTTCCTTAGATAATTGTCCAATAATCAAGTTTTTGTGGTAACATTATTGTTGAAGGTGAATTGCTAAGTGAAGCTATGACCAATACCACAAAACCATTATTTGTGCTTCACATAGTTCAGTAAAACATCTTTTATAATAAGTAGAACAAATACATACAATTTCCTCTGGTTATTAGCTAGTGATTGTTTAAAATTAAAATTTTTTGGACAAGTATTACTATTTTTGTCTCATATTTGTTAGAAAATAAAAAATGTTAAACTTGATGAAATAGGACTTTTCACATGAAAATGGTAAAAATACAGAACCTTATTTTAGTATTAGTAGATCAGTGAAATATAAATTCTCCCATGGAAATAGAGAAACTTATTTCAACATTAGTAGATCAATGAAATATGACTTCTCCTATGACAACACTAAAGATATAGAACCTTACTTCAATGTTAGTAGATCGGTGAAATATTACTTTTCCCATGACAACACAGAGGATACTGAGACTTGTTTCAGTGTTAGTAGGTCGGTGATATATAGATTCTTCCATAACAACACTGAAAGCACAGAACCTTATTTCATCATTAGTAGGTCAGTCAATTATAACTTCTCCTGTGATAACACTGAGGATAATAGAAAAATTACTTCAGTGTTAGTATCAATGGAATATGACTTTAGAGATGACAACACTGAATATAGAATCTTGCATCAATATTAGCTGATCAGTGAAACATAACTTCTCCCATCACAACACTGATAATATAGAACCTTACTTCAGTGTTAGTATATCAGTGAAATATGTCTCCTCACGTGAGAACACTGAGCATACAGAGTTATGTTTCAGTGTAAGTGGATCAATTTTCCCATGACAACACTCTGAATATAGAACCTTATTTCAGTGTAAATACGTCAGTGAAGTATGACTTCTCCCAAGACAACATTGGAGGATATAGAACCTTACTTTAGTTTTAGTAAATGAGTGAAATATGAATTTTTACATCACAACGCTGAGGATATAGCACCCTATTTCAGTCTTAAAGGCCAGTGAAATATGACTTCTCCCATGAAAACATTGAGGACATAGAGCATTATTTCAGTCTTAAAGGCCAGTGAAATATGAATTCTCCCATGAAAACATTGAGGACATAGAGCATTATTTCAATGTTAGTAGATCAGTGAAATATGACTTATGTGAAAAGACTGAGAGTATGGAACTTCACTTCAATATTAGTTATTATAGTATTTATACTTTCAGGTGAAAATAAAATCCAATATGAAATAAAACTACTTTTCACCATTATTTTGAAATTTTAGAGAAATATAGTAATATCTGCCCCTGAATAAAGTTTCTATTTTTGTATAGATGTACTTAAAGACAAACCTAGAGAGTAGTTTTTCATTAACTAATCATAAACCTTTTGATCAGTTCTCCTATCATACATGATTTTCTTAGGAGCAAGATTAACAAACTGACACTTACTGTTTATGTAAAACTTAAGCAAAAAATTCTTTACTAAAAGCTAGAAAGACTACCTGAATAAGGATTTTTTTCCAGTTTCTTTTGAAAAATTGACATTCATGCCATTTACATAACACAAAGATTAATGACATAGGACATGATGGTTTTGTAACAAATTTTAAAATATTTATAACAGTTGTAAAATTTGTATGTTCTGATAATGTCCATGAGTGAAGAAAAACAAAATTGAGATGTAAATTTGTTATTGCTTCAAGGTGGAAATTCTAGGTGATCCAAATACATACATGCTGATAAGTTATGTTTATGTTACATATAATTGCAATTCACAATGAGTGGATTTTGAAGTGACTTATTGGCATCCGGGAAAAAATTTACATTTCAAGTGAGTATAACTTAGTTATATTGACATTGTCACATTCTCTGCTTGTATGGTGCTGCACTGTCCCATAAACAACTCATTATACTTGTGGGGTATCATCAAGATAATTATGTATTGCATAAGCTTCCTCCTTATGAGCAGCAGCATCACACTGATTAAGAAGAGTGAATTTTCTATACGTTCTAGCTGGGGAATGAATTCTACAAATGGGAATGGATACAGATTGAATTGTAAGAACCCCCTACAGCATCATCAAGTTTATTAACTCTCTCAATATTGGCTTGGTTAATTTGACCTTTTTGTACTTGTTTAAAGTCTTTATAGATTTAATACTTATATCTCTCAATGTAGTATGCATATCTCTTCACAAAATTTGGCAGTCTTTCAGTTAATATTACAAGACTTTCACATAAACAAAAATCATATTTTTAGTGAAGTATTTTGAATAAAATAGAATAAAGATTTGTCCATTAATATATTGAGTATTTGTTTTGAATAGTCCATGTGCAAAGTTATTTTCATGTTAAAATTAAACATACTTTTCCTCGTCTCAAAAATCTCAATTTTTTTTTGTGTAATCCCTAAAACCTCCTAAATGCATTTGAAACTTTTTTTTTCAGTAAATCTTTATAGTTTAACTGTTATTTTCTCTACCCTATCTCAAAATGGATCAGTCAATTTGACCGACCTTGTAACCACCAGAAAAAGAATCTAAATAAACCTAGATTACCCTTACCCTTTTTTTCTATCTAGAATGACTTTGAATTGTAACATGAAGCTATATTCACTTTTCCTAAATAGCTCTAAGTTCGTAACAGTACACATTTATTTATAATTACATTTTATTGTTTTATTGCCCTTTGAATCGTGTCTAACTATTATCCATGCCATTATAAGTTGTAAATCACTCGGAAAATGTGCACTTCACATTATGCTATCAAATTACATTACCCATGAGCTGTTTGTGTGTGTATGCCTCATGAACCATTGTAATTATATTATTATTATTAAATATTTTACCAAATCTAGTCTTAAGTAACTTAAAAAGATCCATATTTTTAGGTTTTAGTTACTTTTATAATAATATATGAAAAACAAGAAATAAGGTACTTACCCAATCTTCTTTTTACTTGCCTTCAACTGTCAAAAACAGTTAAGCCTGATTTTTTATAGTAATTATAGTAATGTCCAAAGAATATAGACTAATAACATGCAAAAAAGTAGACAAATTCCCATACCTCTCAACATTTTTCTGGCTTTCTAATTATGTGACAAGAGCTGTTACAAATTCATCCAAGCTAGTCGTTAACATTCTCATGGGAACGAATCTTGTACCATGATTGAAATTGACAATATTCTGTTCAGAATACAAGGTTATACAATAAGTCATTTGAGACTTTCTATTGGTTATGAATAATATATAATTAAACATAAGAGAGAACTATCAACAAATTTTGAAAGAGAAGATGTGGCAAGTGGGTGTGCCAGGAGGGGTCTGATTTTCTATTTGATAGCTCTGTAACCAAACAAAATTGAAGACTATAAAAATTATGGTTTGTGTGAGCAATAACGATTTTATAGAAAGTAATTTATGTTTGATATCATACTTTTTGGAGGGGTGGTGGATAAAATAGAGAAGAGAAGATGTTTAGAGATGGGTCATGTGTCACACTATGGGGAAATTTGGGATTTTTTTAAATAGTGCCTTGTAGAATTATGAACTTAAAACTTGTATATTATTAAAATATGGATTATTAACTAAGATTTTTCTAGTTGGTATTAAATAAATAAAAAGTGGTTTAATAAAATTTTGAATGGAAGATACTAAAACCTTGTGTAACGTGCAGTAAAGGATACCCGAGATGATAGGCTTAATAGTGTTGGAACGTTTGTTTGCTAATGTATGTAATATAAGCAAAAAAATTTCAAGACTACATAGCCATCTATCTTTATACACTGAATTATCAAATTATCTTTAAAATCTTCATTCTGTTATATTCTTAATTATCAGGTTTTACTTTTTCACGTACAGTTTATTTTCCTTTCCCGTCCATTAGTATTAATACTTATTGCGACACATGTTAATAGGCATTCTCAGGGTGTCTTCGACAGTGACATTAGTCTTTTTCACAATGTTGGCACATTTGCCAACTATACTAAGCCTGATAAACCAAGGCAGTTTGGCTTTTATTTTTAAAAATTATTAAACCTTTCGAATGTGCATTTTAAAACATAACTAACACATAATTAATTAAAATATAAAACTAAAACCTAAATAAAATTTACTTGTTTGTCTAACTAACATGTAGGTAAGAAACAGTGCTAAAGTGCTAGCAAGGATAAATGTAGCAACAATGCTAAGAGCTGTTTGACAAATTCTCTATGGAATTCTTCGTGCCAATTTGAAACTAACTCTTGCAAGATAGTATTTTAATGTGTGGTATTGCTATTGGTTACAAACATCTAACTCAACTAAGTATAATTGGCTGAGAAATTGCAACTCTATGTGTAGAAGATGGGCGTGGCATCTGTCAAGAGTTCCGGGAAATCTATTTCTCTCTTTTCCCAATGTCTCATAAGGAGCTTGAAAGAAAATTGTGTAAACAGAGCAATTAACCAAGATTTTTTCTATATATAAAAGGTTTAGTATAGTCAAGTAGTTCTCAAGTTACAAAGTTCAAAAATTATTAATTTTTGAAGTGTATCAAACTGAAGTTTGAGAATTATCTTCAAGGTTTCTTTTGAAATAAAGGAATTATAACTTGGATAATATAAAATTTTGAACTATAATCTAAATTATAATGCTAATTTCATTGGTAAACATTGATAGCAAGATTGCATGTGCAACGTGTAATTTTCAACTTTTGTCAGGGTATTTTTAATCAGACACGGTTCAAAGGTCAATAAAACAGAAATTAACAAATATAAAGATTTTATACTTTTACAAGATTTAAGTTATTTGGAATAAACATTTGTGGTTTTCTATTACAATTTGCAGTTATTCTGGAACAAAAAGATAATTTAGATTTATTTCCTAATTTTTATGATGGTTACAAGGTTGGTCAAATCGATCAACACCATATAGAGTTAATATTGATAAAATAACAGATTAAATATAAAGTTTTATTAAAAAACATTTGATGATTATCTAGAAGGATATAGAGATTACGCAAATGAAACTCGACAAATTTCAGATAAAGAAAAGTATTTTTAATCTTAAAATCAAAATTACTTTGTACATTGGATAGTTAACATTCTGAAAGAAAAAATTCACGAGCAAATTTTTAATAAAAAAATCTTAAAATATAATTCAAAAACTGGATATTTTGTGTATGAAATCATTGTAATGTTTACTAATAATCTGCAAAATTTTGTAAAGACTTGTGTAATTGTAATTACAAAAGACTTGTAATTTCAAAAATTATAGTACAATTACTCTCATAGATACTTGTGGCTATGTAGTAGGTGTTAAAATGGCAAATTTAGAATAATTATAGTTTTGGTGATTAAGACATTTCAAGCAATTGTTGTGTTTGAAGAAAAATTCCTATTTTCCTGATTTATTTCATAATGGAATATCCTCACAATCTTTACAGTCTTACACCTGCATCATAACATGTACATCAAAGGTCTAGTTCATTATTTAGAATTTATTAGTGATCTTTAGTCACAAAACAGTTAGTTTCTATGTATCATATTGGAAAGCTTCACTGAGTCATGCAAGACTGATTCAAGGTTTCTTACATATGTAATGTCATAATGAATAATATAATTGAATTATTGCTTGGAAGAGTGTCATGTAAAAACAAATGTTCTTCCATTCAAAAATATTTTTGTTTCATTATTAAAATAACAAACAGATTCTTATCTTCATCTACAATGAAATTACAAACTTGACAATACTTAAGTAATTTTGGGCATATTTATTTTGTACAATACTCACTCAACAATCAGAATTTTAGAATTGTTATTGAATGACAGTTTGCAACAATTGACAGAATTTCTGGAAGTGGTTCTCTTCTTAGACACTTCAAATTGAACTCATTGTTAAAAAACAACAAATATGGAAGTAGGAGATATGTTCAATTTATTGAACAATTATGTTTTTCTCCCTTCTGAACATGAAAGACAATGACAATTGAGAATTTACAGATTTCTTTACATTTTGGGAATGAATGTGATGGTAGTTTATCTTTTTGATGAAATGTTATATTGCAGTTATTTTTATTTTGTATAGTTCTTGTTGGTTTTCAGAAATTACAAGTGATGGTTGTTAATTTCTCTGTAAGTCATTTTCAGTTCCAGATTGGTATTTTGTTTGATATGTTTCTTCCTGAAAAATAGGACAATTATCATTTACAGTTACATAGTAAACTCTGTTTTAAACTTATGTGCATCATAGCTATATCACGAAAAGAACATGCCAGTTAGCAAATGTCTTGTTATCCAAATTATTCTTATAATTTGAAATAAAAATTAATCAAGGGTAATTGCAATAATACATAAGTAATTCATCTCTTTCACATGTCAGTTTTTCTTTGTAAGATTACTTCTGCCTAAATTTAAAATATTCTTGCAGAAATATATCCAAAAACACTCTTTAATGCTTATGTTTTGATTTTTTTTTGCTTAAATATTAATAAAAAGTTTTAGAAGACCATAAAAATGTACCCAGATATACAGTGCTGGGTTTGATTTTTACTTTCATTAATCAGGCCCACAGAGTGGTCAATGATAAGTCTGACAATATCTTATAATTCTGAAGATTGAGTTTTTATACCTATGGTAGGCACAGCACAGATAGCCCAATGTGTAGCTTTGTGCTTAACAACAAAGAAATCATTAATCAGTAAAAGTTACTTATTACTAAATGCTTTAATTTTATATCTTGCAGGTTGGGAAAGTTATTAAACGAGAAAAGGCAAAGTGTTTAGCTAGAGTTCAGCTCACAAACCAGAAAAAAGTTCTTGAACTTCATTATGACACCATCTCTGAATACACAGGAGATATGTCACAGCATGGGTGATAACACTTAAGAATAAAGTTTATATGTCCTAATGTTTTCTTTACTCATAATTGTTTGTGTTATAGCCATTATGCAGTGTAAATGAAAATTAAATTGCATGTAAAATTGCCTAGATTTTGATGTAAGTAATTCTTTCTTTACAAGGTATTAAACATATTTATCAGCATAATATTTTTATTGAAAAACGATATTTAAATTGTGTTTGTAGTATAACTAGTTTTTGACCTTATGTTTAATGTTTTCTAAGAAATGGATGACAGGTAATTGGAATTGTTTCTTCTAACTTATCTTACAATGTCCTAAGTACTTTATAAACCATGTAAGATTTTAAACCGTCACCATAAGTATATTTTGTTTCATTATGTTAAGAAAATCATATCTCGTTTTGAATTAGCAACATTGATACTATGTAGCCACCATCATAAATAAAATATTTTTTGCAAATACAGCCATTTTTTATGTTTGCACTTGGTTTTCCATAAGTTGAAATATATGCTGATTAAATTGTTTTTTCTGTGTTAGTTATAAAAGGACATATGGTGTGCTTTTTTTCATTGTATTCCTAAGAATAAATTTCAAAAGGTATAGATCAGGAGTACAAGATTGTTATGGTATAGCCTTCTACCTTTCAAAATTTGTTGATTATAATGATGATCATGTAAGTCCAAATCACATTTTATGTTTAAACAAAAGGTAAAAGATGTATGGTGATTACATTATTGCTTCATATTTAGTAAATTTGACAAGATTCTGTATTTTTTACCTAAAATTGTCTTGAAATTTTATAAACTATCTTTGATGTATATTTCACTGCTTGTGGCTATGGTAAAATTTTACATAGAAGTTAGGTTGACAGAAATTTTAATATTGAATATTTTTGATTTTGAATTTAGTTTTGCAAATATTTAGGAATTGTCTTGAATATCTTCCTTCATTCTAGCATCTGATTAGTGTCTTATTTACTAAAATATGTTGCCATGATTTGATATGACAACAGAAAGAGGTTTTGTCTGTATTATCCTGAAAAAATAAAAATTAAGAATATACTTATGAGCAGGGAGAAGAAATTTAAGGTAACTGTCCTTTTGTTTATTTTGAAGTATATTGGATAATCTGTATTATTACTTATGTAGTTTGAAGTAATTTTATTGTTCAGAATATAGAAACAAGAATTTTCATTTTTAATGTTTCTCAGTGCACATTTGAGTTTACTTCTGATTGTTTGTATACTAATTTTTCACTTCAGTATCTTCCACTACAAAAAAACAAAGACTCAGATAGTTGAGGAAATGAAACTGTGGTAGGTTTATGTAAATCAACTGTTATTAAAAAACAAATTTTAGCATAACAAATTTCCCAGTAATTCCACTTTTTTGTCATTTTGAAATTGTATTATAATTTCTATTTTAACAAGTTAAAATTCAAGTTTTCATACAAATAGCTCTGTTATTTTTGCCATGGAATGCTGTTTTTATCAATTTGTCTTAAATATTATGTTGTGTATAATGCTAAAGCTAACAAAACTTTAAAAGTTCTTTAGAATAATAATTGAAATGTAGCATGCTTTAATGATAATACTTTTTATTTTCAGTCTAAGTTCAAATTGCTCCAGAAGTGAGATATTTAAACTGATTTGCAGGCAGAAAGATAAAATCTATAAATATGATGTTACAGAGTACTACTGTATACTCTATTTCATTTACGACATTTATCTTACTATAATGGTCTTAGCATGTATGTCAGTATATATGTATGTAACCAAAACTCCTGAGCCATCTACTGAATGGCACCACAAACAAAAATCCATAAAACCTTTCATACTTTGGATATTCAAAATTCAGACCTTTAGAAAAATAACTGTAGTATGTACAACAACCATTTCTTTATAAGAGAACACAATTTTAAATAAAAGTTCTCTCCTCACGACAAGAACAGGACTCTCACTAGGACTATACATGAAAGTTTGATTATATCTTTAGTGATGTAATTTTTAAATGTAGCACTGAGAAACTGGAGTTCTTAAAAACTTTATATTTTTCAAAAATCAGTACCACTTTTAATATATAAAAACTTTACAGTTTATATCAGTAAAATGTATGAATATTTTGAGCTCTGTACATTGAATCATTTTAATGCAATGAGTTGCGCATGACTAAAGAGTACAATCTGAACACTTTGCTGTGCAGTATTTCTCAGAAAAAAATCCTTTTTAAAAAATGTTACTTTTTCAACATTTTTTTCTATAAGGTACGAATATAGTTACTAGTACAAACAGCCACCCATAGGGCGACATTTTTGCTAGTCTTAAAATATCTTCTTTTTTTGTCAGTTTGTGTAAAATCTTATAGTGAATAAGACCCTTCTTTGGTGACAAACCTCCAAGTTGTAAGTTTAATAATGCATATGCATACACAACAGTACAAAGCAGTTCCTTAAAAGTAATTCAAATAGAATGTATTGTTGCTGTGATTTACAATAGTCCATGGCATCTTCTGACGTCATGCCTGCATAGATTTGTAGGCCTTTTCCTGTGAGAAGTGGACTGAGAAAAACTGTCCAGTTGCCTTTGTCCCATCTCTGACTTTGGGCAAATCTTTCATATCTCTCCAGGAAAGCATCCGTGTCATCTGTCTGTTTATCATATTTGAGCAGTTTGGGTCAGCTGGCCCTGACCCCATTGTCATTCTTGGGTCCTTTACATTCTGTTGGGTGAGCTTGGCGATCTCAATATGTGCTCTTATTCTCTCTGTTTCCAGTCTTTCTTCTCTCTCCTTCTCATCTTTCTCAATTTGTGCTCGTATTCTTTCTTTTTCTATTTCCAGTCTATCCTTTCTTTTTCTTCTTTCTCAGTTTATATTATTATTCACTCTCTATTTCATTTTCTGTTTCTGTTTCCAGTCTTTCCTCTCTCTCCTTCTCATCTTTCTCAATTTGTGCTCGTATTCTTTCTTTTTCTATTTCCAGTCTATCCTTTTCTTTTCTTCGTTCTCAGTTTATATTATTATTCACTCTCTATTTCATTTTCTTCTTGTAGTCTTTCTTCCTCTCTTCTCTGCCTACATTCTTCTCTCTCTAGGACTTGTTGTTGCTTAACAAACTCTCATAGTTCGCTATCTTTTAGCCCAAGACTCTCACCTCTTTGTAATCATTTATCAAAATTGTTGACATGGTTATATAGCGTGATTGTAATCTCTACACTATTTTTCCCACCACTACAGTTGTGCGTATATAGGCCTACTTATTTCCGTTGTCGTTCACGCATTCTTCTGTCGCTATTTACCAGTATATAATACTGGCAGGCTTGCCAAATGTCAGGTTTTTGGATATATCAATAAGGGCTGGAATTCTTTACAGTAGGTGTCCGTGACTTTTTGGTGATAAATTCTAACAATAAACAGACAGCACACAATCCACTTGTTTTAAAATATTTATATTCAAAACAAATCAAACGTATGTACAAAAATTATTCACACTATAGGATATCACAGTTTTACCTAAAACGCTAAATAATTCTCCTTTCTTGTCAAAAGTCCACATAAGCTGATTCAATTACTTTAGAACTCAATTAATAATTATTTTTCTTTAATCTGTTTCTTACTGTACAATCTGTGATAGAATCAGTTACATTACTCCGTGGGTTATCACAGTTGTATCTTGAACTTTAAATAATTGTTGTTAACGTTATTTTCTCAAGCTACAAATCCCAATTTTGAATCTTCTAAATAATACAGATTTCAGACATGAAGTTAAAATTGGGATTTGTAGCTTGAGGAAATAATGTGAACACTATGTCTCAAATCTTTAGCTTGTTTGTTTAAAATTCTTATCGATTGTAATTCCACTTTAAGCTACCTATATTGTTTCTGTAATTTTTTGAAGATCCCTATTCTCCCTTTTTTTAAAGAAACAATTTTTAATAATTTTATTTCATTAGTTTTTTTTTAGTTTCATCGTGGACATAAATCTATATAATAGCATTACTGTCCTATTTTAAACAGTTTAGTTTAATGATTAAATACATAGTTGGTGTATAATGCTCTCTTGGGAAACAATGACAATTTTTGGATTGGCTTCATACTGATTGGATGGCTATTGCTTCTGATATCATTGCCACAATGTTATCATTGATAGTGGTACTACATATACGATCATTATGATACATGGTGATTAACATACCGCATGTTATATATATATGGTTGTAAAACATATATAGTTACTATATTTATACCCTGTAGCTATATGGAGAGTCTGTAAACACTGGATTAGAGACTACTGAATTATACTGGAAAGTAGTTATCCCGGCTCTTGCCAGTCACGCCGCCAGAGAGGATATAGACGATGATGTCACCAGAGACGATGGCGTCATAGTTCCAGGTGTTTATTCGATGGTTCTTTGATTTCTTTATACTGGAGAAAACAGTATATGAATTACAACCTATGAATCTTATTTCACTACATCGATGAAATGCTGGTTTACATTTTTTCTGTCAATAATGAAATAAAATTTTATACTTTGGTAAAACTTTTCACATGAAGATACTGTTTGTTTTCCATTCTTTGTTTTGTGTCTGTTTTAGCAATCTGCCGATTTACAAAATCTGTTACACTCAGTACAAATTATGAATTGACCTTTTGAACATTCATTATTGTAACAAACATGACAATACCCTGAACAATGATTTGTCGCAATCTGAACAATAACTTACTCTGAGGAAACCTTTCATTGACATAATACTGTTGAAATGATGATCATGATACAATAGGAGAATATTTTTGGGAAGTGAAGGACCTTTATAGGTTTCGTGGTTGAAATTGTCTGAAGAAACAATATATATTTGAATATTGAAATGACGTTCAAATTTAGAAATTTCTTCTTCTCCACAAGGTTTTTCTGGAACTTTAGATGAAGCATGTAAGTCTTTAGCCATATATGTAAGTTGTGGTCGTCATTGATTACTAATACTATTATACTTCGGATCATTTCTGAGCAATGCTAAGACTATTACCTATATTAGCACAGCAAAGGTCATCGTTACTCTTTATAGAAATAAATGATCGTTTTTTAAGTTGATCAAGACTAATATTTGATAATTTATAATTCCATTGTAGTAAATTCAGTTTTGAAAGACTCGTCTAAAGGTATGTCCTTTTTACTTCGATCGACTTTTTCGATGTTGGTTAAGATCATTTCAGGTGAAAACAGTTCCTTATTTTGCAAACAAGTATATATTGGTTTATCCAAATGATTTGAATAAACACATACCATAACTTTGTCTTTATTGTTTAGGTGATTTGTTGTCTCATCCAGTATATTCTGAATAATCTTATTGATTGTGTCTATAATGTTTGTTGGTCCATATGATTTAGGACTAAATGATATGCAGTACATTGTAGCAGTTGCATCATACTTTTTAACTCTCTTAAGCTCTGATTTTCTAACAATTAAATGTCCATATTCCTTGTGCGAACGTTTAACAGATAAGCGTAAAAACAGAAAAAAAGCGTATTAAGAAATACAATTCTGTAAAGGAAATTAAATTCATATATGCAAATTCTGCATAAGCATTAAAAACTTACCTCTCCTTCCTCACTAGACGAGCATTTGACCCCTGGGAAATCCCGCATTGCTGAGTGTCTGTAAAACAAAGAAGTAAATTGAGATAAATTTTTATAAGTGTAGAAAATCAGAGCCTCTATGTTTTCAGTCTCTTCAATAGTTAGAGAACACAGGAGGAACTAAATTAAGCCTAATTGCAAACGTGTATTTTTTTTCTAATTCATTTAGATCATCATAGCTGATGGATGGTGGAACAATATCCTTCATAAATATGAGGAAAAGTACTGAATGTCGAAATAGATCTGTCAGATTTTTATATGGGCTGAGATTCTTTTATATCTGTGACATGTTGGTGATAAATTTAAACGAAAAACGGACAGCACACAATCCGCTTGTTTTAAAATAATATATTCAAAACAAGTCATATGTATATATAAAAGTTCATTACAGAGTTAATCACCATATGTGTATCTTGAGCTTTAAATAATCACATCGTTTACGTCAAAAGTCCACACTGGCTGGTTCAGTTACTTTATAACCCAATTGACAAGACGAATTCTTCTTCTCTACAATACATTCTGCGATTATAACACTTTAAAGGTCGCTGCTATACATTCGTTATGGCTAAACTTACAAATACATAAAATAGATCTATCTCACTATCTGGCTAGGTGGTTAGGGTGCTCGACTCGCAATCTGCGGGTCACGGGTTCGAATCCCGGTCACACCAAACATGCTCGCCCTTTCAGCCGTGGGGGCGTTATAATGTGACGGTCAATCCACTATTCGTTGGTAAAAGAGTAGCCCTAGAGTTGGCGGTGGGTGGTGATGACTAGCTGCCTTCCCTCTAGTCTTACACTGCTAAATTAGGGACGGCTAGCACAGATAGCCCTCGTGTAGCTTTGCGCGAAATTCAAAAACAAACAAACAAACAATCTCACTATATCTTTAAACCACCAACTTTCACTCAACTTGTACTAACTTGGTTACCTAACTTAAATACAGGAGGTTCGAGTAATATGACGACAATTCATAAAAATTGAGCTACACAGCAAATGATTCGTAAACAGTTACATATACAAACTTGCCATAAATATTGCTTCTAAATACGATTTACTTTAACGCTCACACAATATAAACTAAATAATAACCTCGTATTAAACTTAAAATGAACAGTCGTGTATATCTAACAAGATCTGTAATATTACTTGTTTCATTTAGTTCAGAAATATATTCAAAACATACTTACATGAGATGAATTAGTCTATGATTATCAGTAGTAGAACTATAAGATACAGTAATTGCATGAATGCTGAATTCAAAGTTAATGTAAATCGATTCGATTGCCATTCATATATGGATGAGCGACCCAGATTTGATTCTGTATTGCAAAATAGACTTGGCCAACTCAGAACCGACCTTTGTTCATTAGTCACATGAATGTCAATGACCCATTCTCTTGCTATGCAGCATTTCATCTGATATATAGCAACACAAGTTTTAGTTGTCACTGTAACATTGTTTCATATCTGTTAATTATATTTTCCGAGTCTGTGGAAAATATAACATGAGACAATTAAACTGAACTTTTGACTGATTATTCACTGTTGTTTATAAACTGTATAAAATCTTACATACTCAGCTAGAATGAACATCATTTGCATGAAAGGTAATCCAATAAAATTCTGAACTATGATGCTTCTAGTACGTGAAGTTTGGTTAAGTATGTATGATAGCCCATTGGGCCATGACGAAACGCAAGTTTTATATAAGAACTCTGAATTATATAATTGTTTCAAAATATTTGAAATAATCACTTGATTTATAATTAAATGTCTTTTTTACAGTTATGTTCATTTGTGCATTTAGAAAACTAATAAGATTAAATGAAGTTTTGGAAGATATGGAAATAGAAGTTCTGGTTTGTAGAAATGAAAGCATTACTTGGTTTAGGCAAGCACAAGGTCAAATATTTTAATCTTGTCATCAGAAATATGTGACCACCTCCAAACAAATAGTTGTCTTGACATCAGTGCCCACACCATTTGATTGAGTGACCATTTGACGACCTTTGTATTTCCTAACAAACAGTGGCCTTGATGTCAGACAAAGGTTTAATCCGAAGTTTTATTAGTAGAACATAAAGTGTTGCTATTTTAAATAATAGCAAAGTTAAACAGTAAGTTGTTCATTTATTATATTTAGTTGTCGCAAAACGAATTCATACATATAGAGTTAAATACGTGCCCTTTTTAGTATATAAAGTAAATTATTGGTTATAATAACTTTATCATTCAAATAATGGATGATAGAACTGATATATGGTATAATAGTTATCTCATTGACTTGTGAAAGTGAAACAGCAGGTGTGTTAAAATTCTATGGAACATTGCCTAAAGTAATACTATCCTTAATAATGATAACATCTTCGGCCCATAGAAACACTGTAAAATGTATGTAAGTGAATGACATATTTTGTCAACAACAATATCAATCATAGTTATATGGATAGCATAAAGACAAACTAGTGAAGCATGATATCTAGATAAGCACCCTTTTCAGAGTAAAAAAATGTTTAAGTATAGAAACTAAAACTATAATCAGCATGTTGAAACAAAGTCAGTTGTCTTGTTCAGTATCAATAAAAAACGTTACTTATGATAAAACTTTTCAGTAGTAAGTTAAATGTGTCAGTTACACTATCGTCCTATAAAAACACAAGTAAATGAAAAATATGATGAAACGTTGAAATCTGCATGCTGTCCTTTGGATGTATATTAACACCTTTGTAAAGCATGTGCAATTAAATGTAAGTTAAAATCTGTTAAACACTATACACCTTTGTAAGACCATCCGCCTATAGAGCTTTAGTAACACAGTCTGTTTAGTAGCATCATCTACCTATGGTAACACAATCCTTAGTAACATCGCCCTCCTGTGTTAAATATATATATAATACAAATAAATATATACATTAAAATAAACACACAAGTTAAGCTCTGTATGCAGCCCTGTATTTAAAGCATTACTTGCAAAACAAAACTGTACATACATGATTTAGAAATTAGACTAAATTATTAGTTTAAGACTTTGTAACTATAATGTCATGTTGATCTACATCATACCAATATGCCCTCTGGTTCCACTTTGTGGAACAAGCAAGACGTCTTCTGTACAATTTTTGTCTGTCATGGCGGCCTACCAACATGCCTTTTGGTTCCACTTTGTGGAATTATGATGTCATTGTCTCTACCTCCTCTCCTATTGTGCACCCTCTGGTGACACTTTGTTGAACTATGACATCATTGTCTCTACTCCCTCCCACCTGAGGTCGACATTCTTGTGGCGCCCTCTGGTAATGTGGCTGGTAACAATCGAGATAACTACTCTGGAATGGTGCATGGACTGGATTTTGTAACTGCATGAGTTTTATGCACACATCCACATGCACTGCATTTTGGCTAGTATTTATATCTATATATACATACATACAGGCGTTATAGTTTTTAAGTTGTAAAGCCATATCTATAAAGACCCATATGAATTTTTCAAGTTGTATACATGCATGCTTACATATTCAATGCCAATATAAGACAATGTGTCATAATATAATAGGATATGTATACAAATAAGTATTTCTGGTATTTCTTATAGTTATCATATTATCTCTCCATTGGCCATTGGAAAGCTGGTCATGATTTTGATGTTGCTGGACAGATTTCCTCTTAGAGTGTCATTTTGCAATTTATACAAGGGCAACTTGAATGTGCTTACAGTAGACTATACAACCTGTTAACCAGAAGCCATAGCATTGCTGAAGATAGAGACAGAAAAAGTTGTGGAAGCTCTTCTGGAACTGTTCTGCAGAGTAGGCTTTCCAAAAGAAGTCTTGAGTGGCAGACAGACCCCGTTTACCTCAGAAGTGATGGAAGAGGTGTGCAGACTCATCAGCACTAAGCAACTCTTTACCAC